ACAATACCACAGGCACACGAAGAAATTCATACAAGGGCCATCCACAAAATTTACTGGAAGGCAAAAGCTACCGAATCAGGAATTTGGTTGGACTCCTGAAAGGGCTCTGCCACTTAAGAACGCACATACATCGGATACGAGTACAGACAGAGGAAACGCTGTGCAGATACTGCCAGGAAGAAAAGGCGACCGCAGAATACATTTTATTATTTTTGTGAGTCTGTATAGGTGCAACTAGGACAGGAAAAGCCACAAGCAAGATCCTACACCAAGGAGCCGCTGGCAAACCTACGGAGGTTGATTCACTATCTGAAGCTGGCCAGTGATTTATAAAAAAACAGGGGAGCACAATAGATCTACTCGAGTCGAGTGCGGAGGCCTTTTGGCCGCCTCTTTTATCCCTATCTCTAGCCCTAAGGTTCTTCTTGAATCCGATCATCACCGATCCGACAGAAAACCAGCAGCGTCCGGGATTCCGGGATCACCCCAAAATACGCACATTGGAACATTCGCCGACGACAAATCCATATCTGTTATAGACAGGGACGTAAGTACCGCAGAAAAAGATGTCCAGACTAAAATTTACGTTCTAGACTTTGAGAAATTCATGATTGAAAAGGCGAAGACAGTTTTTATAGCGCGTCAACTCACAAACCCTCCGGGATTAAAAGTAAATACCATAAAGATAAATAGGAGCCCCGAAAATGTGTATATCAAACATTTAAGAATGTTCCTTTACCACAGTCCAGCTTGGAACGAACACATATTTAAAACTAAAGGGAGGGCATCATAACTGATTAGCAATGCTCTAGGTGCCCTTTGGTGAACAAAAAATCATCATTAAAAACTACAATAAGCGTCGAATATTAGAAATAATTGAGATGGGTGAATATGTCATTCCAAATTTTTGAAAGGATGATGGTTCTTATTCACAAAAAAAGGCGAGTTATTAATTTTATGTTTACGTTTTAGCTTAACTGTATACCTAGTTATAAGTATTGAATGTGGAAAGTGGATGGAAAGTGAACAAATAAGTTTAAGTAACCGGATATTTGCCTTTGAGTGTATAAAAGGTTGGTTTTTATCCTCAGACTATGAAGAAAAATCTGAACCTTTTAAGCCTTGTACACACTTGCATACAAAAATACAAAATCGAACGATTGCAGAGAAGTATAGGGACTGTCTGTAAACATGTATAGGGACTGTATATAGACCTAGAGACATTGTCATCTGCACATACTTGATTGTTCAAAGTAAGTTGCTTCTTATTGGGATCGCCACTTGTCCATTGATAATCATAAACGGTGAAAAGAAGCGAAAGAGACGTTGATGGAAACGTGAACTTTTTACGAACAGACCCCGTTTCAACTTACTTTCAACTTCGCAATTAGAAGGGAGCATGGGTTTCCGAAACTTCACCAGTTTGACCCCAAGTGATTTTGAAGAATTGCTTCAGCTTTCAGGCGGAAAAATAAAATGGATTTAGAGAAATCATTCCACCATCTCTGAAATTGGCAGTAACACTGCGTTATCTGGCAAGTGGCGAATCGTTCACCAGCCTATGTACACTTTTAGGGTATCGAACTATCACTGATAGTCCATGAAGCGTGTCAAGCCATTATACACTGACAGGTAAAAAATTCCACCCACCAGTAATATAATTTGATTTTTCTATATCTTTATATATTAACCAAAGTTTCACGTTTATTAACCTAAAGTCTTTACCTACAAAAGTTTTAAAAAAATGTAAATTGCTAAGGAAAATGAAAAATCAGAAAATACAGATAAAATTTGTTTTTTAAGTTTTTAATTTAATTATTCAGAAATCGTGAGATGCGGTCTGGTGTGATGTAGGTTTCAGAAAAACATTTTCTTTATCGTGCCAACGTTTCGATCTTTATTGAGATCATCTTCAGGGCTCAAAGTGTTTGTCTTCTCTGTAATTGTGCCATTCTTGCGTGTCGTGTTGAGAGTGCCCACGACACGCAAGAATGGCACAATTACATAGAAGACAAACACTTTGAACCCTGAAGGTGATCTCAATAAAGATCGAAACGTTGGCACGATAAAGAAAATGTTTTTCTGAAACCTATTTCACACCAGACCGCATCTCACGAGTTCTGAATAATTATCGATTAACGGTCACTAATTACCACACATTTTTAATTTAAAATTTCAATATCAAATATTTTCTTCTCTTGCCTTAATTACATTTCGAAGACGCCTCGGCATACTTTCTACCAATCTGGAAATATCCCTTTGCTGGAGGTTTGCCCATTCTACACGAAGAGTTCTTTCAAGATCGTGGAGTGTATCGGGAAGTGATGATGGGGTACGGGCCTACTCAGGCTTTTAACCCCTCGGGTCCTGGTCGCCCGCCCTGTGTAATATATATATCGGGAAGTGATGTACGTGCTCCGCTTTTGAGGTTATCCCATAAAAGAAAGATGGGTTTCAAATCTGGAGAACGGGCTGGTCAAGCTCAGACCCTAATGTTATGCTGTTGAAGGTAAGTTCAAGTACCTGCGAGCGACATGTCGATGAGCATTATCGTGGATTATAATAGGATTGTCGCTGATTTCATCGAGGATATAGGCAACAGATGATTTTCCAAAATTTCATCCACATAGCGAATGGCCGTCAGAGACCCTCCACGATCAACAACCAACTCTTTGCCATTCTCCATTGGAATTCCCGCCCACACCATCACTGAGCTACGTGGAAAAGGTTGGCTCTGGGAAAAATTACAGGCATCGTATCTTTCATTTTGCCTTCTCCGCATTCTTTCACCCCCATCTGGAGATCGTTGAGCAAATCACCACTTTTCTGTAAAAAGTACAGCAGACCAGTCGTACAAAGACCAACGGCTGGGGTCTCGAGCAAATGCGAGTCGTGCAACTCTGTGTCCTGGTTAATTCTGCTCTTCTTACGGGACGAAAAGCCATCAGTCTATAATGCTTTAATCTTCTTCGAGCTGTGCGTTTAGAAATTTGGAAACCTCGAACTTCCTGGAGCTTTTGAATCGCTTGAACAACAGTAAGATGTCGGTTTTGCTAAATTCTCAAGGTCAAAAACGGTCATCCTATGGTTCTATTACCCTAGAGTATCAAGAACCAGGCCTTCTATGGTAGGACCCAGTTTGTCGAAAACGTCTAATGGCATCTCGCAGTGTTTCGTAGGGAACTCCGATGGCAATAACCGCATACCTGATGGAACGTCCATCATCAATAAGTACCAAACCACGCGCAACATCCTCAGCAGTGTTGGGCAAAAATTAGTCATGACTAATGATTAATGATTGATCACATAGAACGTTAGTCAAGATTGGTAGTGACTAATTTGTCATTAGTCACCATATGTGATTGATGGTTAAATTAGTCATGACTAGTAATTAAATACGAGGCACAATACTAGTCATGACTAAATTTCGATAAATCATTTTAAATGGGTGCTCAAAAAAATGAAAAATAGGCAACTTCATCACTTTTAAAAAAAATTCTAACAAAAATTTAATTCATCAAAATGAAAATCCTTCAACACCTTATTTAACAAAAATCAATCTTCCAATTATAAGTAAAACTACGTCGTTATAAAAAGCCAAAAAATAATGATAATTAAAAAAATAAAATAAAAAAATCCTAGAACAAGCTACACTTTGAAAAGTAAATATGTTTACATAACCGATCAATGGAAAAAATATTTCGTTGAATTAAAATTTATTCCACTTGAAAGGAGAAATTTCACATTATTTAGAAAAAACACCATCTAGGGGGTCTTGATTGTAATTAAACAGACATGTAGAATAATTATATAACTTTGGTTTTCGTTTATGAAAACACTTTTTGAAGGTTGGCCTTGAGCACGACTCTCACTCAAAATTTTTATCCGCAGTCTGTTGGATTTTGGTAAGTGGGCCATTGTAGCCAGAATTGGGCAAAATCTAACTAATTCAATCATGATTAAGAATGTTGATTGAAGTGTAATCATGATTAAATTAGTCATGAGAATTAATCATCGTATGATGTAGTCATACCTCATGATTAAATTAATCATGACTAAATCATATAATGATTAATTTACTCATGAGTCAATTAATCATCGTATGATTTAGTCATAACTCATGATTGAATTAATCATGACTAAATCATATAATGATTAATTTACTCATGAGTCAATTAATCATCGTATGATTTAGTCATACCTCATCATTGAATTAATCATGACTAAATCATATAATGATTAATTTACTCATGTCTAATTCAATCATGATTAAACTTCAATCAAAATTCTTAATCATGATTGAATTAGTTAGATTTCGCCCAACTCTGATCCTCAGCACTAAGTGGCACTTTTAATTTTAAAAATTGAAATTAAGAAAACAAAGATGAAAACTAAACATTTTATTGCTTCAAAATTCAAACGAGACTGAATAAACATATTAAATTCCTTAGAAAGTTAACAGTGAAAAATCCTTTATCCTTGTTTTTGATTAAGGATTAAGTATTTTTACCTCTAATTAATATTCCCAATTTAAAACAGCATAAACCAATATTTATTGGTAAAAACAATGAGATAAGTTAAGGGCAGAATTTTCTTGTATAGTGAAAATGAAAACAGAAATCCATTGGTGGTATTTTTGTCTGTCAGTGTTCAATCTCTGAAGTGATTCGTGAAGGTATGTATAAAGCATTATACCAAGCATCCGACATTGTATAAGAATTGTCTCGTGTCTCCCATTTGAAACAGGAGTCAAAAGTTCTGCGATTTTGTATCAAAAGCTTGTCTGTAGGTGTGAAACGTCTCTCCACTGTCTATATACAATAGGTCGATTGTTTATAGACACTGTGTATATACCAAAATCGCTCCACTTTGTGTATAAGTGTGTACATGGCCTTATGATTCCGAAGTGTGAAGTTTCGAAAGGCAGAGGGAAGTCAGCATGAGCGGCGCTTCAGTCGCGTTTAGTTAGGGTCAAGGAGCAGCAGCAGCAGCCTAGCCGTCCTTTTCTCAACAAAACAATAAACATTGAGAGGGACTGCACTCTGCAGACTGTTACTTTTTAACGCCGGGTAGCTGTTAAAACTGCTTTGCTGTCGCCTGAGGTTTAGGTTCCATCTACAAGGCTGAAACATGGACATCGAACGACGTAAGTTACCTTTTATATATTTTCATATATACTAAGTCTTATACCTTATATACAAGAAACATAGTTTTTGTCAGTTCATCCAGAAATTTAGTAATCGACGTTATTATTTTATGTATGTTCAACCAAACAAATTCAACAAATTGTAAGAATCATACATAGGTTGTTCTAAGAGAAACATAGCTGTAACTGGATACCTGCATTTTGTTAATGGAATTATTGAATTCATTCATTTACCCAGTTACAATGTACCAAGAACCGTTATATAATGAATAATAATAATTGAGAACAACAAGAAGGATATAAGAACACATAAAGGAAAGGAAGAAAGATTGCCAGCGAAAGAGATGAAAGTGAGTGGAGTGTAGGGGAAAGGAGAGAGAGCCAACCAGACAGAATGAGAGTGAGAGAGACAAAGTAAGAATAAGGGAAAAAGAGGGTAGAAGACAGACGGACAGAGGATGAGAGAGTGATTGCTAGGCAGACAGAGTGCGAGCAGTAGAAAGATAGTTGAGAGAGACAGAGTGACAGTAAGGAAAAAGGAGAGACAGATACACGAAGAGCTTGATTGACAGACAGACAGAGTGATAGTAAGAGAAAGAGAGAGAGATAGGGGAAGATTGATTGATCAATTGACAGACAGACATAGTGATAGTAAGAGAAAGAGAGAGGAGAGAGACAGATAGAGGAAAATTTATTTAGTGATTGTCAGACAGACAGAGTGATAGTAAGAGAAAGAGAGACAGGGAGAGAGGAAGATTGATTGATTGATTGACAGATGACAGAGTAATAGTAAGAGAAAGAGAGAGGAGAGAGACAGAGAGAGAGGAAGATTTATTTATTGATTGATTGACAGGCAGGAAGAGTATAGTTCTTACTACTATACGGAAAGAGAGAGGAGAAAGATGGATAGAGGAAGATTTATTTATCTATTTATTGAGAGTCAAAGTAAGAGAATGAGAGTAGAGTGAGAGGGAGAGATGGATAGATAGATCAGATTTGACTTGGGGCACTGTGGAAAAATTTATTTAATGTCAATAAAAAAGTTTTGGAACCGCCGGTCTATCTAATGGTATAACAGGCTGACCAATGAGCCAAAAAAAGGAGCAGCTCTTTCATCAAGAGGACCAGTATCACAACTAGGTGCATCAGGGTGCATTCTTTTTTTGAAACTGGGCAACATGGCCTGATAAAGACAGAAAGATGTGGCAATCTGGATTTATCGATGTCTCAAAATGGAAGGCGAAAGAATTTATTGTTCTATCGCTAAGAGAGCAATTTTATATATTTGCAGTTTTTGTTTTGTTGTCCTTTAGGGAACCTTTTCCCAGGATATAATAGACAGATTTGAAGAAAATTATTGGCCTCTATACCAGCCATTGCCCTTTCAACTACCATGTAAAGAAGACAGAAATATGCCAACTCTGTCAAGAATAACCAGATAGATCGGTACATATCATTTTCAACATACTTTGTGAATGTGTAGCATTGGCTTGGATACAGTACATCAGTTAGGCAAATTCAAACAAGGCGAGCAAAGAAGCAGCGAGGAAAGTGCCTAGTCTTATAGGAAAAGTGTTCTTTCCAAGGCATGGTTATTACTGATCTTTATTCACCCCCCCCCCCATAAAAACTCCTTCCAGCATAATTACAAACACCTAAACTTGAAATCTGCTCCTGTTTTACGTCCTACATATAAGATGTTCTTCAAGTTCACAATTTTCAAATGGAAAAGTGTCTCTGTCATCTTGAACTGTGACGGAGTATGAAAGTCAACATATCTGTGCAAGATGCAACACTAGTGTAAAGAAGACCCTGCCTGTTCTCAGGGAATTCTGATTTTGATCATTTGGAAAATCGGATAACGAAATTTTGGAATATTCCCAACGGTGAGAATTGGCCAGCCTTATTATAAAGTACACATGGTTTCTGGTGCAGAAGTTTAACTTTTGAGAGTGAGCATGTTGATCGTCCTATCACACCCAACGCAACACTCATATGTCCTCAATGACAGAATCTAGCTATTTCTTTTCTCCCCTACAAAGTGCACTTTAATTTTATCACAAGACAAATTTAATCATAATACATTTTTTCTTTTAATCATTTTCTATTATATGAAATTAAGAAGATATAACATATAATAAATCTTAGCAGTCAATCCTGTTGAGGAGTATTTGTAATAAGATAGTAGGTCGATCTGTTGTCTTCTGGCAATGAGAGTGGAATCCCCAGTTTTACGGTACCAAAGATGCATAAGTTTGCTTTGAACCACTTCCTGTTGCATGATATGGCAAGATTAATAAGGTGGTCACTCAGATGTACCTCACTCTAAAATCGGTTTCACTATTGTGGTGTATGGCTACATCTTCGCTATTGCCGTGCCAATTATTGGGGGCTGTTTGTATTTTTGAGGCCACTACAGTATAAGTTCATTATATTGTATGTGAAAACTCACAAATTAATTATTCAGATTTTCATGGTGGACATTTGTATTTTATTTTAATTCATAAGACTAAGATGATTGGGGATGATGAAGCTGTTGATAAAATACTAAATAATTTAGGCTAATCTAAAGACTATGTGTAGGTATGATGTTAAATTGGAATTGTTTTATATTTTAGTGCCAAATCCAGCACATCACCACAGCAAAAAGCTGAAAACTGGTAAAGACAAGAAAGAGGCGAAGGAAAGGAAAGGTATTTTGATGTCTTTTGTGACTGGCGAGACAATGGAAATTCCAGATAAAGATATTGTAAGCCATATTTGTACTAAATTTAGTTATTTTTTATTTAAAAAAATAAAAATAAACATGTTTTAAGTTCAGTTTTATCCTAAAAAAAATTTTTTTTTTCCAATATATGAATGTGAAAGTTGTGATATTATTTTTTTTTTCAGATGGGTCGGTGCAGATCTGTTTCAGAATTTGAAAAGTTGAATAGAATCGGTGAAGGAACATATGGAATCGTTTGTAAGATTCTTCTAAATTGTCTGAAAAGTGCAAGTTTTAAATGCAAACTTTATGTTCTTTAAAGACCGCGCAAGAGATACCAAAAATGACAGTATAGTTGCATTGAAAAAAGTAAGGATGGAGCACGAGAGGGACGGACTACCTTTGAGCGGTCTCCGAGAAATTTCCGTACTGCTCAGCTGTTCACACGAGAATATTGTTCAGCTGAAAGAAGTCGTTGTTGGGCGTAGCCTAGAAAGGTATCAGTTATTTTCACTAGACATAGGCCGATGTTCTAACACACGAGTTTGCAGCATATTCCTGGTCATGGAGTACTGCGAACAAGACCTGGCGAGCCTGCTGGACAATATGCAAGCCCCATTTACAGAAGCTCAAGTAAAATGTATCATGATCCAAGTACTTAAAGGTTTGAGGTATCTCCACAGCAACTTTATCGTCCACCGAGATCTTAAGGTTTCAAATTTATTGATGACTGACAAAGGATGTGTCAAAATAGGTATTACTCATTCAGTCGCTTAGTCAAATTAAGCCTTAAACCTTAAAATTGTAGGTTGTTTTTTAATTATGCCAAAATTTATTTTAAATAAAATTTTAAAAGATACATGATTATGACACAAATGTTCCTAAAAAAAATAATAAAAATAAAAATCTACACTATAAGGCTGGGTTCACACCTGAGAGGTAAGATATTTATCGCAGAAGCATTAGATAACACATTTTTTATCCTAAGATTAGGGGGTTCATATCATTGCTATAAGACATGAGCTTCAGTTACAAACTAAAGATGCGTAACTTATCACTCTGGTCTGAACCCTACCTAACATCACTAACTTCAATATTCACATTGTCCTTTTTAAATTAACTGATAGAATCCCACTTCCAAAAGTTAAACCGTAAGCTCTCAATCCATCCTAACTGTACTGCCCAGGAATTAAAATAGCCTCAAGACCTTACTCAGCTCTTTGTTCATATTGAGAGCCAGTGTTGGCTGGTCTCTTTATACGCATCCTCTTTGCATAGTATTAGTGCTTTTTTCTTTTTTTTTTCATTCATTCATACATTTTTATTTTAGCTGATTTTGGGTTAGCAAGATGGTACGGTTTGCCAGTGCAACCCATGACTCCACAAGTGGTCACACTATGGTACAGATCACCTGAACTTTTACTTCAAGCTAAAACGCAAACTACAGCTGTTGATATGTGGGCAGCTGGTTGTATTTTAGGAGAGCTTTTAGGTAATTGTTCATATATTACTAACAAAACAGATTTTAAAGAAACTTATTTTTTTTTTCAGGCCACAGGCCTCTCCTGCCGGGAAGAAGTGAGCTTGCCCAACTTGAGCTTATTGTCGATTTGCTAGGAACCCCTTCGGATTCAATCTGGCCTGAATATTCTAGTCTCCCAGCGCTTGCTAATTTTACTCTTAAGCATCAACCGTATAACAACCTTAAACAGCGTTTTCCTTGGCTTTCTGCAGCAGGACTAAGGCTTTTGAATTTTTTGTTCATGTTTGATCCTAAAAAGCGAGCAACCGCAGATGAATGCTTGCAGAGTTCATATTTCAAAGAAGCACCTCTTCGTATGTATTGACTGAAGAATATAGAAATAAAAGACCAAATAATTATTGCAAAATAAATTTGCAATTTTCAGCTTGTGACCCAAAAATGATGCCAACATTCCCCCAACACAGAAATATGAAAGGGTCTGGCAAATCGGCCAATATTCCAAATCATTCTAATCAATCCGCAGTTGACACTGGAGCAAACGATCAGACAATGAATCTTCCAGCAATTACAGATTTGGTAAGAAACAGTTTTGTTTATTTGTATTCATATACTTCCAAAGATCTTGGTTATCCTTGACATTTTCTCTAACCTTCCATCTCGATCCATGCTCGTATAAATTATTGACGATTTATCATCTGACCACACCCCTGAAATTATCACCTTGACCATAAATAACCCAAACTAAATTTCCTTGAATTTTTTTCAATGGACCATGGTGTTCATAATGGATCATGAATAAAAAGCATGCGATGGTGCAATTTTCATTTGATATTAGAGTAAGAATATAACATTGGCAAATGCAAAAAAAGTTGTTTTCAAGAATATAGGGGTATTCACGATCTTTGTGTTAACCCTGTTAAGTCCTGTTAGATTTAAAAAAATGATGATATAGACTTGTAAGAATCGGCTAGTTTACATTGCTCAATACTCAAGATACATCCCCTTTCATAAAGTTGTAGGCTGTAAGGTATGTTGGCATGAATTGAAGCGTGTCGTTTCTTAGTACTTTTCGAGTGCATACCATTTTTAATGAAAGAGTTGATTATTATTATTTTTTTTTTTTTTAAATGAACTTTTGCCATCTTGCAATTTAACACAAAAGAAAACCAAAACAAACAAACAACAAGCCTTCAATAACTGTTATAGCTTTATTTTTGGTTCTACTAAAATTATAAATTCATTAATAAAACAAATTGATAAATTGCAACTAAAATATTGTCGAAATGTCTCAATCCGAAAAACGAAATGAATTTATGCCAAATTAGAAACAATATCGCATCAAAAACGATTGGTCTACTCCCCGTCATAATAAATAATAAATTAAAAGCCTTGATAGAATGAGGTCCAAATATTCCTATTCATTGTTGCACAGCTCAAAATTAAAAATATATATGGCCATGAAATATTGAAACAGCAATTTTCAAACCAATAATTTAAGAACATATAATTACACTTTAAGAAAGTTAAATTCATCTGTAGGGAAGACCAAAACGATAATGTATTCAAAAAAGTCACTTTATAGTGTTACATTTAGGCGATTCATTGAGCAGTAAATTTGGGTTATATTATTTGTGCTTTCCTCGGACAGGTTTTCAGATATAAAAATATGTAATAAGTGTAACAGAAAGTACTCGATCTGTTTTTTATTTTAAAAATTAATAGCGGTATTCACGATCTTTGTGTTAACCATGTTAACTCTGTTAGGTCCTGTTAGATCGAGAAAAATGATGACGTAGACTTGTAAGTATCGATTAGTTAACATTGCTCGATCTAACAGGCCAGGGCCAATGTTAGATGTTAGGTCGAAAATGTAGTCACATTGCTATCCGTTAGGGCATAGGTAACCAACATGGCAGCCATGAATTTTACAGCTGTTTTGTTTACACGTATTTTTATTCTCAAAAACGCATTAATTAAATCAGACTAATACATATTTTCTTTTGTTTATTTCTGACCTGTCCTTATACTCTCATTCATAATAGATACATCCCATATCCTATAAAGTTGTAGGCTGTTAGACGTTAGGTATGTCGGCACGAATTGAAACGTGTTATTTGTTAGTACTTTTCGAGTTCAAAGATAGCATTTTGAATAAAAGAGTTGATTAATATTTCTTTTTTATGAACTTGGCACTTACAATTTAACAGAAAAGAAAACCAAAACAAACAACAACAACAAGCGTTCAAGGACTGTTATAGCTTTATTTTTGGTTCTACCAATCGCCACGTGCAGCATTGCAGAAAAATTAACGTTTAGCATGCTAAGAAAAGAAGGGGGCATTCACGATCTTTCTGAACATTTCTTTATTCTAATTTACATCTTACAAACATCGTGAATACCCCTTATGCATGGGTACATGTATTGTAACATTTTTGTGTTTTTTTGTTTTCAGCTGGGTTCGTTGGTCAAGAAAAGAGTCTATGACTAAATAGAAAGGATTAGTAATCTAAAAAAAACTTTTTTTAAATATTACATTCTGTTATATTATTTTTTTAAAATAAATTTTAATGGGGACTATTGTAAGTAAATGAGTCTCATAAAATTGATGATGTTCCAAAGACATTTTTGTTTGAGTAAATTTTTAAAAACCTACTTCTATTATTTTTCCTGTTTAAAATTCCTTAGATATAATTAATGCTCACTTAGAAAATAGTAATATGTCTACTAGTTACTGGCTTCCATTAAATAAATAAAAATGATTTAGGATTTGTCTTACATAATCAAAGGTGGCCTAAGATCAGTATAGAGAGCGAGCAGGATTACTATGTAAATGACAGTGTGTAAATTCTACTAATTTCTTTCCTATGACTCCAGTCAAGTTATGGTCATACTAATTAAAAAAGTAACCTTCTCTAAAGCCTTCTCTTTTTTTTATTTGTCCTATTGTTAGGCTTTCTGGTACCTCAGGGCCTCATCAATTGTAGATAAATTAACATTAAAAAAAAAATATATAAAAAAGAAACAAGATATGAAATAATGGTCTCGTTAATATTTCATATGCCATGGGGTAATTGGTGATCGATTAGCCCTCCATTCACGCTAATAAATAACATTCACACACTACAATTCATTCACTTAAGTTTTGTTTTAATAAATACATAATACAAACTTTCCAAAAATGTTTTATTTGCTTGTTTATTTATGTATTTTGTTCATTTGATCACAATATTTGATTTAATCTTCTATTTGATCAAACAGTAAAATAATATTAATTACAAAAAATGGCAGTTTTTAAATGCTAGCTTATGATTTTTTTATATTCTTATTTTGTTAATATACGCATCCTAAATAGATTTCATCCTCTTTAATTCCATTTTTAAATGTTTTTCATACTGTACATTGCTAAACAAACTATCTTCTAAACACTATTTTCACAATCAATATAAATGCTTCTGGCTATTGTTAAATATATTATTTACAACTTTCTATATAAACATTCACACTACTAATTTACATAATTCATTCGATTGCATCAGTCTAACTATTTGAAAAATGTACAACTTGTGTGTACAGCTTTATAGTTTTGCATAACACAATTTTTGCAGTTTTGTTCTTTGTTATATTTTAATTTTATTTTGCAATCCCACTGCAAACATTTGACCTTTTTTATCTGGACACAAGCTATTTCTGTTTCCTTTGAATAGTCCTTCTCTACTCAAAAACATTTACATTATTCATTCACAAGTCCAAATTCAAGTAGCACTACAAAATTGTTTCTATTTTTTTACCCAATTAATATTTTATAATTATGTAATATACATATCTATAAAATGTATATTTTTTAATGCTAACAATTTTACTCTATAGTGTTTAAATAGTTTGTATTTACATTTAATTAAGGCTTATTACAAAAACAGATCTCTTTCTTGTTCTTTCTTTTTTTTCTTCTTTTTTTATATTTTAATGCATTATATTAATTTACCTTATCACAAAAATAAACTCAAATTTCCACATAAACCCTCTTTTCTAAATGCCCAATTATAAAACAATATCAAAACAAATTTATATAACAAAATAACATCCAAAAATATATGATCGAAACATTTACAAAAAATTTTACCCCGGGATGAAAGCCAACAGAATTAATAAGAAGCACTGTCTTCAGGCAACATTTGCCATTTCTGTGGTCCCCTAACAAATTTCAATATTTTGTACGATTTTCATTTTTTTCTCATTTACCAAGATCTCTTATGCAAAGAATTTAAAATGTTAATTAAAAAAAATGGAAAACAATAACAATTTGATTTTTATATTTTTTTAATTTTTTTTTGATAATTAAATTAAACCTTTCCTTTAAAATGAATGATCATTTCAATTTTTTTCAGATGTAAATTAATATAAATACTTATAAAACATGTACCAGAAACATTCTTATGCCACTAAATTGGACAAATTGTTGATAATTACCAGTAACAGTTTCTTTAAAAAGCTAGTTTCTTTTCTAGTTATGAAATAAATAAAATAAAAACATCAAAATAATATATAAAACATAATTCAATTGAACAAACTAAAGTGTAAATAAAAGTCATGGGAGATTTTTGTCTATCTCTGAGAATATACAAAAATAACATGATTTAGTATTTATAGTAACAGTCCATTAAATAGGAATCTTGTTTAATTGTCTAAAGCCAAGGGCCAAGCTCTTTTTCCATGAGAGCGACGGCATCGCTTCGTCCCATGACGCGGAAAATGTTCAAGAGGTCAGTCACAGCTGACGGTTCCCGATGCCTCGCCTCCCAAAGGTCCAGTATGTGGTCTGTTGGACTGGCTTTTGTTGCAAAATAGTTTATGTACCTGAAATGAAATGAAAAATGTATCATAAAATAAAAATAATTATAATTATATTAAATGGTACCTGTCGACATTAAGCCTTTGAGCAAGCATACGCCAGTCGTTACTTCTAGCATTTGGAGGATCAAGACATTGGCAAAGCTGTTTGCGTAAAGTCTTACTAAATCTGCAAATACAAACCGATTAGTATTAATATAATTGATAAATTTACAAAAATGTAACAAACCTAAAAGGGGGATCACATGTTGTTATGCTTGAGCCGCAACCACTACTACTTGTCACTGTTCTGCATTTTCCAATTGCAGGGCTTGCTGGGATCTGCAATTTTTTATTATTATCATTATTTAATATTTATTTGTAATACATGCTACAAATATATGTGTGTTTTTTCTGTCACCACACTGACACTATGGCCAGTCTGCACCCAGAAAACACAAGAGGAAACAGCCACTGCTGGCACTCAATATGAACGATAAATAATCAGGTCTCAAATCCATCTTCGTTTAACATGATGTGACAGTTTCTTGGAAAGTACAAGTGAAAAGAGGGATTGGGCAGTCGGGTTAGGTTGGATCAATGGCATAGTACTTTTAGTAGCGGAAATGGATCAGTTTGTTGACAACAGAATGCCGCTGAGGAGCTTTGACAATTGCCTGAAGACTTTTCATTAGAAGGATGCAATGGACGCCGGATGGCTTGCAGAACCCAACAGTTCCACATGTCCTTAGTGGTCACAATAATATCTGTAATGGAGTTAAATGATTTTTGATTGTCAAAACCATTCTCTTCAAAAGAGATTTGGTTGTAAAAGTCTTCGTATGGTAGTTGTCAAGTTATTAAATCCTTTTTTGGGATTCCCCATCAATCTACTGTCTAGATACAACCCTAAATATCCGACCTAAATGGAAGTCAGTATATCCTTATAGTTGATATGCAGTGGATGGAAATATTGTTTGGTACATGTACACTGGGTAAATTTTTCTTCATTCAGCCTCGACTTCCATTTTTTGAACGAGCTACTGATAAGGACAATGATTTCTTGGATGTTGGAGGTTGCTTTGATAGGACTTGGGTTAGAAGAAAATTTGCGGTATCATTCACATAGGTTGGTGTATAGAAAAGTCAGCAGTATAAATGGTAAACAGGATGGGACCAATAATATTCCCTTGTGGGACATCGAGATATCAGCTTGTATTGGTCTGATAACTGAGACAAGGAAAAGACCTGGTTTGTGTGCTATGGATTTGGACCTAACTTTTTTTTTGGTGATTCTACACTCCAAAATATCGGACAAGTATCCGCCACTTGTGATCAGCCCCCGGTTTCGCCAAAAAAATTTTGTTAAGTTGAAATTTACTGTTTTTTAATAATTTTATTTTGCTGTTCTTCCTCAAAATCAAGTATGTAAACGTATCATTTTACAGCATTTTTTATGTAGATGGCAATAAAAATATACTAAAAGCTATCAAAGTTTATTAATAACAAAAACTTGCTAAATACCAAAAATGTTTAAGGAAACTAGGTAATGACTTTGTTTCATGAAACTAATATGAAATTTCGTTTCAGCACCCCTAATTATAAATTTTTGTTTGAAGTTAAATTTATAGATTTTTTGACTGAAATTTTTCCAATTTTTAAGAAGTTCTCTATCTATACCTGAAGGAAACTTGATTCTTAGAACGAAGGAAATGGTGTCTAAAACTGAAACCTTGGTGGATAATAGAATGATGGCGATTTAAACGTAGTGGGAAGAGATGATTTTATTTGAATCTAGGATGGATATTGTTTTGAAAGGAATCTTCCGAGAATTTTGGACATGTGGTCATTGGATGTTGGGCATGACATGGGTAAAATGTCATTTACGATATAAAAATGTATTTTTTAATTTGTTTTATTACCAATGATGAGAGAGAAGATTCTGGTCTAAGCTCGGCGTTGACCCTGAATATCTGCCTGTGGTTTTGACATCCTTTCTGGCAAGCCAGCACTTTAAAATTAACATTTGAAGGGAGTCGATCAGTTCTTTCCAAGGTGAATGAACAGTGAAGGTGTGTTTGAGTCGAGTTCCAAACGTGCTGGAATGGTATTTCCTAAATGGAAGAAATCCAGTTAAAAAGTTACATAAATATCATTACATTTAAAAAATTATGCACACACACACACACACAACCACAACCAAACATAATTACTGGCCCTATATATCCTCGATCTGGATAGCAGGAAAGAAAAAAAACAACTATGATCAACGACAGTGAGTCATCATTACAAAGCTCGATGAATTACAGAAATTAAACTATTCGATTGGTGCAAAATTAATGCAGGATTTGAAAATCTGTTTTATTTTCGCAGGTGCTTGCCATGTAAACAAAGCTAAATCCTCAAATCTAATTTATGAATTATAATAAATACTTTTAACTGTTATCATTTATAAAAAACATTTGAGTTTATTGAATTTTAAAGTGAGGACCTGCGAAATTAAATCTGTTCAAACTAGATTGGGCTGGTGCAAAAATAATGCAGGTTTTGAAGAGGCAGTCAAGACTGTTTTTAATTTTTATTAAATAAATACAATTTATTCGAAATATTTTCCATCACAACCTATTCATAAGCGTTTTTATTCCGCTGACATAAATATCGATATTTGGATTCACAATACTCTTGAAAGGCGTTTTCAGCTTCCCCGCGTCTAAAAATTTTCTCCCTCAAGAAGTAAACAAAATGCCTAAAAAAGTCAAGTCTGTAGGCAAGAGGTCGGGTGAAAATATACGGTGCGGTAAGGTTTTCATGTCCTATGTCCTTAAGTTTCCGCAGTGTAGTAGTTATCGTGAAGACGGCCTCTTACGGTGTACTAATGCTGGACAAAGACGTTGCAGTTTCTCGTTTTGTAAATTTCTTGGCAATTTTTCTCTGCTATTATAGTTTCACCATAATTCAGGAAATTATAGTGTACAACCCCAGCAGTACACAACCAAACAGTCACTAGAACCTTTTGCAGATTTGGTTTCATTTTGATGGCGCAACAGAAATGACGTGCAAATTTCAGAGAGTTGATCTGCGAAATCATTGTACTTCGGTCGTGCGGTACCCAATTGTCGAGCTTCTTTGATTTACCAATTTGCTCCAGGTGGCGAACAACAGTTTGAGTGGTCGTCGATAAGGTCGTCGTCACAACGGAAGGCCTACCACTCCCTTCCCTGTCTTGGAGATCGAAATCTCCAAGACGAAATTTCTGAAACCATCTGCTGCACCGTGCATTTGCTAATGCTAGCTAACCTCCCCAAACTGTATCGACGTTACGCGCGGTTTGGGCTGCACTTCGCCCGAGCTTAAATTCGTACAAATAAATTTGACAAAATCTAGTTTGGACATAATTAATTCGCATGTCCTCACCTTTATAAAATTCAGTATAAACTAAAATGTTTTGGGTAAAAGATAACAGTTCAAAGTATTTAATATAATTTAATTTAATTTGAGGATTTAGCTTTGTATACATCGCCTGCGAAAATAAAACAAATGTTCAAAACCTGCATTAATTTTGCACCAACCCTACAGAAATCAAGGTATGATATTCTCTAGATACACCCCTTGAGAGGTCACTGCATGAACCCACGTTTTTCTGTTCGCCATTGAAAGAAAGCAGATCTCTGCTGCTGCCGTTACTCCATGTCTTCCTCATATTAATCATAACCCATGTATATATTCATTAGTTATAATCGACCGTCTTAATTACTTAAATTAATTATACTTTTTATCTAAGCTCTTGGTGGAGATGGAAAAGCTAGTGCTACGAGCGGGATTGGAATCCTCGACCTTCGGCTCAATACACCTCTGCTCTAACCACTTGAGCTATCGTTAGTTATCGCAAATAAATACTCTTCCTCAGAGCTATCCATTTTGTGAATACCACTGTGATGTATACTGTATCGAATGAAGCATCGAGGCGTTGGGTGTTCCCATCGTATGCCCTTTTTCCTGTATTGCCCTACCACTTTGTTCGATATCTGGAGGCCCAGAAGAAGTCAGTTTTGTGTGCAGCAGTACACAAAACTATTTATAATAACTGGCAAAACATCCATTCTCACACACATTTTGCGCCTAACATAAAAAATGGAACATTTTGAACTTACTTGATACTCTGCTTGGGGTTTGCTTCTCCACCCGGGGCCAATATCCTCTAAACTTAGGCAGAGGTTGCCACCGCCGTCTTGGAACAGCAATATCTTTGGTTTGTCTACTAAGCAGCCTCCAAGTTTCTTCTCCATCTGTATAACACCCTGTAACAGTTTACAATATTTGTTAAAATAGTACCTAAACAGGAAGTATCAACACCATTTTTTTACCTCCAAAGCTGCGACCGTGTCTTCCAGTGTGTACACTCTTATGCTGTAATCGAGGTGTTGTGAATTGAGGGCTGGGGCCGGTGCGAATACGGCCAATCTAAGCAGTTTGACTGGCCTGGTAACTGGCAGCATGGGATTGGCAGCCTCGCCGACAAGTACGAATCTCGTCAATTGGTCTGACACGAGGTACACCTGGCTCTGATCCAACTGGGTGAAAACTGGAGTGTTTATTGTCTCTTCTCCCAGAGTAACGATTTTCTGCAGGAAGAAAATTGAAATAAACGATTTTATTACTTTCACTGGAAAATATGCTTTGGTTGTTAACTACTGTGAACTTTAGAGTCTTTCCGCAGTGAAACCGACGAAAAAAATTTTATTCACGTATTACCTGCCATCCGGTCTTAGGACAATAAATTAATTACTTTTATTATATTTTACTGCTTTATTATCACAGTAAGTTTAGTTTTTTTTTTTTAGACTAAGAACAACCACAATCTAGCATAGTTTAATGGGAAAATGTTATGTTAAATATACAGTGAGAATTATCCATACACTCGGTTTTTTCACATTTTCTTCTTTAAATATATTTTGAACCAAAATTGTCTTTGGGCAATAAACTAATCGATTCAATACTTTTCTCTGTTTGTTAAAAAAATAATTATACTGAACCGGTCACTTACGATGCTGTGGGGGTTCGTCCTTACTCGCCGGGATAGATGAATTTCGAAAATGAGTTTCGACATCCTTCAATCTTCAGTGAGGAACTCGTTTGTTACTTCGACAAACCCGCGAGTGAAGGCAGACCCAACAGGTGACCAGTTCCTGACTGAAGATGGTGCAAGGCCGAAACGCTTTTGAATATTCAACAAACCCGCGAATAAAGACGGACCCAATACTGATCCTTGCGGGTTCAGCACGAGTTCACCGACTCGCAGATCATCATCAAAAAAATAATTGGGCGTTATTTTAAAATTCAAAAGATGACGTGTTTGCATGCCAAAAATGTATTATTCACTCAAAAAAGTACAAAAAATCACAATTTGTTTTAAAACATGAACATGGAATGTTTGGATTTATTGAGGCTTGTTACCTTCTTGACATGCATTCTGCGAAATTTAATGGCTCTTCAGGTGTGATTTCCGATGTCTTTTTTTAAGTTCTTGTAAGTTTCCTCCTTGAGGAATGTTTGAATTTTTTTCTCCAACATGATCTATAAATTTTTAATTGAGTTTATGTATGGCTACTGTGGAGGTGGAGGTAAAAGTTGTGGATGGTAATTGAGACATTCTTTCGTCATTCTGGCTGTGTGATTTGGCCGTATTGTTGTGTTTTGGATTCCCAACCTTTGTATGCTTTTTTTTAATCATGGCGAAGTATGTACTTTTTAGCTTGAATGACTTTTAATTCACCGACTTTCATAGCACTCATAAAACCAGACATAATTATGAACAATGCCTCCTCTGTTCTTCACAGTCTCCCTTAAATAATACGCGCCCGTCAGATCCAAAATTAGTGAAATTTTATCTGAAAAATGTATACTTTTCCAGGAATCGACGTGTACACGAACAAAATTGATCCTTTTGGCCCTATTGTTATAACTGATAAAAGATTTTATTATAGCCGTTCTGCCTTTGATTCCCGCTTCATTACAGCTCGTTGCGGAGTTATTTTTGTAGCAAAAGTTGAAGCATTTGTCTTCTAAGTATTCATGTTCACTTAATATTACTGGATGTTTTTAAGCTTGATTTTTTGGAATCAATTCATGTGCTTTAATTGCTGATTTTTGGGAGGATGTTTCAAGCCAGCAAAAATGTGCATTCATTGGTACATTTCTGTATTTCCGCTCGCTTTCGACTTATTTTGAACTCGTTCTCAAGATCTTCCTAATCAACAGTTGACAAAAACAACGATAAATTATTAGTTTATATCTTATAAGTTTTTATCGCTGTTTTTGTTGGTTAGGAAGACCTTAAAACACGAAGACCACATCCATCCATAAAAGCTAGTTTGCAGACCTAAGCCCACATCATATACTTAATCCAAAGAAATTTGATTTCAAGTTGGTATTCAAAAATGTCAGTTTTGGTATTTCAACGAAAAGCCTAATTATTTTTCTACAAATAATTACTTCCAGCTTATTGTTGAATCGTCTATTTTATTGTGAAAAAAGTTTTTGTCTCAAAAATAAATTAAAGAAGTAAACTCCCAAAAGTCAAGTGTATGAATTTGAACGCACTGTAAGTACTGACTATACAATCTAAAAGCTGTAGAAAAGAATTTTGAACTCAGAACTTTATTTTCACTGCTTACTACATTATTTCTCGTCAGACCCTAAAAACCCATGCGGTTAGTCTTCAAAAATCACTACATAATTAAGTTAGTAGAGATAATTACATTTATAACTACCTGCCAGACAGGGGTTGCTTCTGGCGGCGAATCACTGGACCAGACCGAAACGCTCCACTGGCCGTGCTTCAGGCTGGCGCAATGGTGGAAATTGAGGATTACCGGTTTCTTGAACACGACGCCAGCCGGCCCGCACAGGACGACAGGGCTTAGCTGTGTCTGGCGATCTGCAATATTGCGAAAAAAATTAAACATCAATAAAATTGGACCATCCTGGCAGAACATATTCTTCTCCAACCCAATAACCAAACAACTCATGGAAGTTTAAAAAAAAAAAATCGTCCAGAAATAACAGAAATGAAAATAAAAAGATAGCAAACTACAATAACTGTTGAACCAAGCAAATATTTCATATAAAATTTATATCACTAGTATATTTACTAAATCGGCATACCTGTTAGTTTCGGGCGATGCCTGTCATCTCTCAAAACAGCTATGTAGATGTCTTCTTTGTGACCTCTCGGTATCGCCCCTTCTGGGACAGTCAGGGAAATTCCGGACTCGGGGAGAGTGAGCCTCCCTCCAGTGGACGACATAGTGCTGCAGGCCACGCAATCACTGTCCAGACCCCTCACCGGTACGGATTTGGTTTCGTAGTTCGAATCTACGTTCGACGGGGCTAAAACGTAAAACATTACAAAACAGGATCAACTAAACAGAATACAGTTTACTTACAGGAACAGGAAAAGCTCGTTAGACTGTGAGAACTCGAATGCTGATCTCTAGGCGCGGTCCGGTGCGATTCCATGGAATGCGTCGATGTTGATGTGGAAGGCGACGCAGCAGGGGGTGAGTTGAGATGAGGGACATCATAATGGTGCTCGCTGCAAGATCTAGGCAAGCCGTATTTGTCCGCCGCATCGGAATATGGATACTCGTAACAGGCCGGTACAGAAAGTGGGATGACCACCGTTCTCGTCAAGTCGGGCTGCTGACCGTTATGCAGGTTCTTCTTATCGTCTTCGGGATAATATTCTGCTTGGTATTCTGAAAAATAATTAAAAAAATTAGAAAACATCGTGCCTTACTTTTCAACAGTCTTAACTAGAACCACATGGCCCAACCGGGTTCGACACGTCTGACGAATAACTAACTCCGGGCTCCTACCATTATAAATCACCAAAAATCGATTTTTCAAGTTTAAGTCGTCGGATTTCAAAGTCCCACGTAGTCATGTGTTAAACGCGTGTTAAAAAGTGATAAAGTTCGTCGAAAGAGATGACACGTGGGTCTACCCCGCAAGCGTAACGAGCCCACATGGTACAGCGTCGCCGGGGATTTGTACAAAAAGCCACCCCTAATTACCGGAGCGAGGGAAAAGATTATGATTCAACCCTTATTGAAAATAATGGAGTATGTCACGAGGGTAGCTTCTTGACAGCGCTTGACACTAATAAGCATTTCTGGGTAAGGCTTGTGTCTTTATTACCAGAGATCAACTTACACATACAACTAATATATCGACCACTAAACTTTACGTATAAAACCTTGGAACAAATTTGCAAAAAAATTGCGGACGATAGTACCTGACAAAGCCAGGTTATACATTTTTTCCGATTTTTATAATTTTATATTTTATCTGTATCTATTGTTTTCCTTATGAAAAATTTTAATTTTCCCATTGAACAAAATTTTCTTAGGCTAGTTTATGGGTATTTGCCGTTGGGGAATTTCGTGCTCGTTATTGACCAAGGAAGACATGCTTTCCCGTATACTTGATCGTCCTAAAAATGACAATGAGGATCTTTAACGTCCGCACCTATCCTATTCGGCTTTATCGGACGTTTTAATTCTCAAGATGAGGGCTGACGCACCTCCACATACGACAGAATGATGTTACTGCTGCAGCCCCGAAGGCCCAAGACAACCTCTCTCCCCGCTTGCCCATTCCAATTGGTCTGGTCTGCATTAAGCATCAGATCGTATGCCGCGCGCAAATGGCTACCTAAGCCGAAATACATCAGCCTGGTCTCCCGCGCACTTTTTGGATAGAGAAGGCCACTCTATATCCCAGAGTATTGGGGCTCCTCTAGCGTAGAAACTACCGGATCCGCGCCGGCCGCGGTTTTGTTTAAAGTGAAATTGCTAACCAACCCCTAGAGGAGTACCCCCTACGGTAAAAACCTCCAATCGAGCTCAGCCTGCACCTACGTGCAAAGTATACTCGAGTAGGAGCAACCGATTCACTGTCCGTTCCCATCCGCCACTACTCACGCATTCGAGGGACTTTTCAGCATAATCATAGCGCCCTCAACGCTTATACGCTGCCGTCCGATCCGCCGTATCCCGTGAGGCCGGGTGTAAAACGATGGTCACGCAAGTTTCGTGCGAAAGTCACAAATAGAAGACAGCCACTTCTCTAAGTACCCGCCAGGGGTCTCACCACGGCCAACTACGAGCCCATTCTCATTGTAAGGGGCTGAACCTTGGAACATTTTTGTTACCCCGTAGTACAGATGGTTATGCACCCTCCCCCGTCTATGTAGACAGGATCTGGTGCCCTAACCCTCGTGTGCCTCTGATAAGGCACTCGCCGCCCCATGCCGACACGAGTGCAGCTTGAGCTTCAGGGAGGTTACCAATCCCTCAGGGCTAAACCATTATTTTGCGCCCGGTCACCCCCCTTGTAGACAAGGGTTGGGAGGGGTCACAGGAAACAATGAAGGAACCTCGAGTGAGAAAGGGACATGGATGAGGACACGAGGTACACCAAGGAAGACAGGTGGTGAAAGTGCAATAGCAATTTTATACATTGGGTTGGCAATAAATTGGTACAAGGTAGGCCTACCTCCATACCTGAATTGGAAGTTTTCTAAGTGTACAACTTACCATGTTCCCGAATTTACTGAGGAATGACTGAAGCTAGGAAAACTTTTAAAAAACCATCTTTTACAGCGTACAATTTGCTAAACATGAGAACTGGCGCAGGTCTGAGACTTCAAAGGTTGGGGAACTATGCATTTTCAAAGGGTGCAATTTTTTTCGCAAAACCCAGGTGGTCGGTTCTTTTTGATAGGCAGTGAAGTTCAAATGATCAGAATGTTTAAAAGTAAAATTAACGCTAGAGTGCACGACGATGTCAATCGTTGACGATGCTGACATTTCTGTTCGTTTTAGTGTGCCGTCATCGGACCGAGAGTGATATTCCGTTGAAGGATGTCACTCATGAGAGGGTTGACATATGTCGTACCCGTCGCCGGCGGCGTCCTCACCCCCGATACAGCCGTCAACTCTTTCTTCGAGGGGTGGACCTCGTTAAAAATAACAATTACTCGACTACCCTCCCGGCAAACGGAACGAAACCAATTAGTCCTAACCGTTTCCCGTTACCAAACGGTGACCGATCGAAAAACGCTTTCGGCGTTGGATTCGTCGTCGACTAAGCACTAAAAATGAACCAGTAGTGAGTGTTGTCCAATTATTTTTATTCAAGCCGAGAATAATCTGGCGATCCCATTTTAAATGTTTGAAATGGTTGATTTATACGCAAATTTTTTACAATTGTATGCTTTCTGTATTAAAAAAAAATAATTTTTTAAAAGTTTTAATAAAAATAAAAAGCTAGAAGTACATGTAACATTAATTTTAAATAACCTAAAATGGCAAATCACAACTGTCACTTGGTCTTTTTGCTGAGGATTGTAAGGAAAGTATGTGACGTCTTCAATAGCGACCTGTGTCAGTTTTCCATTTTTCATTTGCTTCAGACTACATGTATTGTTCCTTCTGAGTACATTCACTTGTCTCTTTTCTCTACGGTGCAATATTAAATGTAACACTTGATTCCCTTTCATCCAACCCAGTCTGAGAACATTTTGTTGGAAAATGTATGCATTTGGTTATATTCATCCTGTATATATAACTGTTCATAAACAATCTTCACATTGTTCAAATTATATGGAGTGTATTTTTCAATGCATACTTATTAAACTCTTTCTTTGAAAAGAAACTTGTCAAAAATAACAAATAAAAATAATAATAATTCACAATCCTTAACAACGTGTGTGTGGTGATTAGTGACCGTTAATCGTTATTTATTTAGAAATCGTGAGATCGGTCTGGCGTGGTGTAGGTTTCAGAAAAACATTTTCTTTATCGTGCCAACGTTTCGATCTTTATTGAGATCATCTTCAGGGCCTGGGATTTACAAACATTGTTTACATACAACAATTACATTTAGGATGTGGAAAAGTGAATTTCTACAATGCAAAATATATTTTGTACATTTTTTGCATTGTATAAATTCACTTTTCCACATCCAAAATGTAATTGCTTTTGTAAACAATGTTTGTAAATCCCAGGCCCTGAAGATGATCTCAATAAAGATCGAAACGTGGGCACGATAAAGAAAATGTTTTTCTGAAACCTACATCACACCAGACCGCATCTCACGATTTCTAAATAAAAATCCTGGACAACGTTGAGACAGTCGATCTTCAAAGCAATTTGAAAACCATCTATTAAAAACTTAATTATATCAATTTTTAAAAATATTGAACATTGTTTTGCCCTGATGACCTTAAAATACGTCGAAAGCTTTGCAGTAAGAATTTAATTTTTTTCTGTCAAGACCATACCGAGATCCAGATTATTCCTGGGTAAAAAATTGGTCGATATATCTTAACAATTTAAACAAAAATAATAATCAATTAATATTTATGTAAGGTATTGGTTGAGATAAAAAAAAATTAGCGTCACCAGCAGGATTCGAACCCAAGAACTTCGGCTGAATACGCCGCTGCTCTACCACTCTCTGAACCTACAACATTCCAAATTTTCCCTCTTTTTTGCCATTTTTCAAATGTTCATCAGGATTCGATTCTCGGCGACAAGTGAAATGGCCACGGAGACTTTATTGAAGATGTACATCATTTTTACTTATTAAATTCACTAGTTTTCGAGGTCCGCTTGACCAAATAAATTCTTTCAATTAATTAATCTTTATGTAAGGTTGAGATAAACAATGGCAAAAAGGAGGGAAAATTCGAAAGGTTGGTTGAGATGGGAAGTTGGTGTCCGAGTGGATCGAAGTCATGATAGCTCAAGTGGTAGAGCAGCGGCGTATTCAGCCGAAGTTCTTGGGTTCGAATCCTGCTGGTGACGCTTATTTTTTTATCTCAACCAATACCTTACATAAATATTAATTGATTATTATTTTTGTTTAAATTGTTAAGATATATCGACCAATTTTTACCCAGAAATAATCTGGATCTCGGTATGGTCTTGACAGAAAAAAGAAGCTTTAGCCGAAGATCGTGGGTTCGAATCCCGCTCGTGTCGCTGACTTTTTTTATCTCAACCAATAGCTTACATAAAGATTAATTGATTGAAAGAAGTTATTTGGTCAATCGGACCACGAATTCTAATAGATTTAAAAAATAATTGTAAGCATCGTACGTAGGTTTCCGATTCCCGATAAATCAAATAAGTAATAGCTTCCTCAAATAAAAGAATAGACCGTGGTGAATGAAAACATTCTTCTCCAGCCAGTAAACGGTTAACGCCTGAGATACAGGGATCCTCCCTTGTGTGCACTGCCATTATTTTGCCTAATCTCACTATCCTATTAAGTAGGATTACGACTAAATTGTTTACAGAACGCATTTGTTTCCGGCTTCTGCGGTTCTGCGGCGCTCTATTTTAAAATAAATGATTATGGGGCCGGTTTTTTGCGGTTGGTTGAATTTTATCATTCAACGTCCCTTGTTATGTTGATATTATACTAGTTGTTTAATTGTATATAGGTTATAATATTGCTTTTTTGCGTAATTTTGAATATTGAATTTGATTTTTTTAAATAACAATTTGTAATTTTTAATTACAACATGTAATTTGCGGGTACACATACATACATATATACGGCTATTTACATAGATGGGAGCAAATAATCAATATTACTTTATCAATCCATTTACGTTTTAGTGGTCAATTAATTATTCTTTCTTTGGAACGGTTGTAGTTTGAGATGGAGAGTTGGTGTCTGGGAG